TACATAGGATCTAAGAGCTGATGGATTGTTATAGAAGGTAAATTTTTGGTTTCTTTTACAATGGAGAGTCAATCACTTCATACATTTTCAAAGTGTATTCATGTAAATTCATAATGCTGATAATATTTGCAATCATCCCTCAAGGAAAGATTCTGATACAAATGAGAAGTTCATTCAAAATGAAAAGGGAACTAGGGATGGGAGAGAGGGAAAGGAAGGAATGGGAAGAAAAGGAGAGTAAAATGAAAATAGAGCTTTATGAACAGGGAAGGGAAAAGGATTTGAAAGGAGGGGACAAGAATGGGGAGAAAAAGAGGAATCAAGATACATCATGTACAAATACATATTCCATATAATGAATGTGATCATTATGTATACCTATATTGTACCAATAAACAAAATTTAAAAGAAAGAAATGATAATTGAAGATTCTGAGCATTCCAATGTCTGAGTCTTCAGTTTTTGTTGTTTTGTTTTGCTTTGTTTTAACTGTGACACCACTGTGTAAAGGACTAGTGCATTGTAGCAGTTGCTTGTAGCTGGGGGCGGTCAGAACATGTAAGAGCATCAAGTCCTGCAGCTTGGGAAGTGCATGTTAGCTGCTGACTCAGTGGGAACTCTGATCTACACTTGCCCTATGGAGACTGACATCGTCCTTTCAGCTGAGGATCACTTCCTGAGGCTCTATATCCTATGTCCCTGATTTTCACTGGAATGCTTGGTATGTAGGATATATGCTGTACATATTTCTTGCATAAAGAAAAATTAAATATTTATTATTAGCCAGTTTCAGGGGTACACAACTGTGTTCCCATCATGGATGGAAGAGGCTCAGAAGCAGGAGGATCAAAAGTTTGAGTCCCATCAGGGCAATTTAGCAAAATCCTTTCTCAAAATAAAAAAAATAAAATGGTCTAGGGATGAATCTCAGGGTAGACTGCACCTGGGTTTGATCCGCAGTACCAAAGGGGAAAAAAATCGCTAAAATCTCAAATTTCAGTGATAATCAAGGAGGAATTGCAATAGCAAACAGAAGCACAAAATGACAGCCAGAATTTGGAGGCAGATTTATTTATGTCAACCGGCACTGAGCAGGGTCATCCTCAAAATACACGCCCTGATCGCTGGTGGTCTAGGGCTTATGTAGGATAAGCAAAGAGGAAGTGCAGAGGCAGAATGGCTTGTCAATTGGGGATTGGTTTATACAATGTGCATCGTAGTGACCAGCTATGCATCACAGTGAACAACAGTTTGTAAGAGACCAGAAGCAACCAGAACTGGAACAGGAAGTGTTGCCTGGGCAACTAAGAAACTGAAGTATACTGGCTGAGGTAGGGCATTTTCTGTAACAAAATTATAATGAAACAATGATGAGTTTCTGTTTCTATTAATCCTGTGAACTACACAAAACACTATGTCATGCAAATCATTAAAAATCATTATGCTGAATCCTTTCCTAGCTCCAAAGGGTGCCTAGCTTTAGGAACGGGTTCAGTGATGTGTGCATATGCTCCTGGATCTGGAAGTATTCTAATACCAATCTTGATACAACTAGAACATTGCTTGTTTCTTTTTTCTTTTTCATTTCATAGTCTGCATCTGAAAACCTGTTCTGTCGTTATCAAAAGATAATTCAATTTCCTTATAATTCACTCAATTTTCCTGTGAAGAACTGTCTTTGAAAGTTAGCCTCTTTTATAAGTAGTTAAGATTATTTCCATTTATTCATACTAATACTTCATTTTTAATTTTTCCTATGGAAAAAAATCTGCATTAATAGAACAACAGAACTCACAGTTAGATACATATACCTAATAAAGAAAAACCTTCAAAAATAAGATAAAATATAGTGTTCTTATTCCTATCCTTTTTAACCTTCTTTAGAAAATGACCAATCTGAGGAAGTCAGATTTCAGAGTTATTTTAGGTATGAATGTTATATGTTTTGTAATTTTAAAATACACATACTTTTTTCTGAAGAGAGAAATGACTTTCATATTTTATTTATCCTCTATGTTGTTGCCTATACAATAAATAATTTCTCTCACATGAATGAACATTTTTTCAGAAGTTATAAAAATATATTCCTTGAATGTGAAATTATTCTTGTATCTAAATAATGTAGTTATGTCTCCTGTAAGCATTTAAAAATTAAACTAAGAATAAGTAACAAGTACGAACTAGGAATTTCCAGAAGCTAAAAGAAAAATTATTAAATGTTTTCATCATGAAGAAATGATAGATGTCTGTGCAAATAAACATATTTAACCTGATTTAAATTTACCCAGTGTATACATGTACTAAACATCAAAAGATCATATTACTATGTATATTTTTATGCTTTTCTGAATGAGTTTATCAAAATAAAATAAAATTAGACTAAGCATTGTCCCCACAAGGAAGATAATGGTAAAAGGCACATTAAGAGCTTTGGTTTGAATTCTGTTTTTTTTTTTATCACTAATAAAGTACATTGAATGTATCATTTACTGGACTATCAAATTTCTTATCTACAAAGTGACAATTTCTAATTCTAAATATTGTTTTGCAGATGCCATGAACAATGGGTACAATCCTCTTTTCAGTGATGAGACAACACACAGATTTTTTTCTTGATGACTTTAGAAATTATGTAGTCTAAGAGTCTTTTGTTCACTTACAATTTGATTTTTTCAGAATTAGATTTCTTGTGAGCTTTGATTCAAAGCAGCTTTGCAGATCCTTAAGCTCATCTTATCTCTTTTAGTTTTTGAGGAAACTCAGTTGTAGAACAATGAAGAGAAAGAGTAAATGGTACAACCAGTGATGTAACCGTAGCGAGGAATTCAGATATTTTTTAGATGGATTGGAAATACTACAAAATCCATTGTTTTCATTCAGTGTTTACAGGTGTCACCTAAGTATGTTAATGAGAGGACAGACTAATTGAAGTAAAAACTATTTTAGTTATATATTATATCACTTCATTATATCTAAAGTCATCATCAAAATCTCAATTTCAGATATGCTTTTTATTGACAAAGTTAATCAGAATATGTTGCTCTATATTGTTGCTTTTATGCATCTTAGTTTAGTACGTGTTCTGTTCTGTAAATGTAGCCCAAATGAGAGGTAAATATGGGGAAATAGCCACCTTGAACACATTTATATTTAGTTAGGTTTTCTACTAGCAGGAAGCAATCATATAATCAACAAATATTTCTAGTAGGTATAATACATAGCTAACATGAACTGTGCTTTCTCTGTGGTAGCTTTAAGCAATTTATATGCAATATCTCATTGAAAGTCCACATTCATTCTTTTCAGATAGATGTTATTATTTGCACAATTCTGTTAAGGAGGAAATTGAGATCCAGAGAATTTAAGTGTCATGTCCAAACTTCTAAGCAGAGAAGGAGGCTAACTCCATGATTAAGATCCGATAGTTTTGCTCTGGAGTATGTGCCTCTTAATCACATGATTATGCTAGTGAATATAGAAAGCTCTATGTTTGAGGGTGTAGACACAGCACTTAGTGAAGCAGGCAAGAGCTCTGCCTCTATCAAAATAGACAATACAAAATATAAGTGCAGGATCAGTAGCGTCAATGAATTTCAAGGAAAAGTAGTGAGTTTCAGGAAAAGTAATCATATTTGTCTTATATAGTAATAGAAGTCTTCAAATAAGAGTAGTGAATAAATATTTCCTAAAGAATTATAGGAAATAAGAAGAAATTTAAGGCAAAATAGGCAGATCCAAATGTAGCCTCCATAATTAAGGAATAGAGAAACAGGAACAGTTAGATTTAGTTAGCATGATTGGTACAGAGTCATTGCTTTTTGTCATTCCTCGGTCTATAAAATAGAAATAGTAGTCTGTATCTCAGGGTCTAATAAAGTCAAGCTGTATTATTCAATTAGCCAGAGCTAGAAATAGAATATATCCGATTATAGTAGTCTTAAATGTAAGCCTAAAAATTGTTTTTGTCCTGAAAACAATAGAATATCACAGCTAGCTTTAGACAGAGAGAACCAATTAAAAAAGTATTTTGTTAGCATAGATCCAATTCTTGTGTGTATAAGAGAGGAAATGAGACCAATCACAAACTATTGCTAAAAATTGTGTTTGCAGGAAAAAAAAAAAAAAACGTGTGAGAATAAAGAGGAAAGAGCAGACATAAGAAGAATGAAAAACAAAAAGCATTACTTTTCTTTAATTTTCTTTTATTTATTTATTTGTTTATTTGTTTTTTCATTTATTTTTTTGGCACCAGGAATTGAAATCAGGACCTTGTGCTTGCCAGGCAGGGACTTGTGCCTCTGAGCAATATCCCTGGCTACTTTTCATATGTATTTGTAATTTCTCAAACATTAATAAGGATATATGTATATGCAGTTGCCCCCCAAAATTCATGTAAAAATTTTAGTTTTTTAACAATCTGCTAGTCTAAATTTAGAAAATGGAGGTGAGATTATAGAGACATATTAAAGAGGTGATGAGACACACTCCTAAAAATCATTTTGTCTTAATATTTAAAGGGTTAATATTGTTAATTTAAAAAAAAAACATTACCCCTCTTCAGTTTTTAATTATTATTTATTTTGTCACTTTGCCAACAAGACAATGTCCTTTAATATACTTTAGCTTTCTTACAATCAAGATGCTAAAATAATCACACTGACCAAAATGAGCTTATAACATGATATAACTCACCAAGAAACGGAAATGTATGCTATTGTTCTTCGTAGTAAAGAACTGCCAAAGAAAGGTCCAAGTGGCAATGTCTTTGTTTTCACAGAGCGACAGTTATACAAATACATAACATTAGGTGACTGATAAGCAGCTAGAAATTAGAAAGGAAGTTAGTGATCATTTTGTAAATAACTATCATCTAAATATTGTACTTCCATGGTTGAATGTGCAGTTTTTGCTTGAAATACCATATAAAAAGAAGAAGATTTACGCCGTTACTGTTTGTGTGATCAGTGCAATTTAATGAAGCTACTTCCTTTGCTACACAGGTATGACATCAAAGATGATTACACCCTGAGAATTAAAAAGGCTATGAGTACAGATGAAGGCACATATATGTGTGTTGCTGAGAATCGGGTGGGAAAAGTGGAATCTTCTGCTACCCTCACTGTCCGAGGTAAGAGACTTAAAATATCAAAGATAATTGAAGTAAACCAAGAGGCTAATAGATTAAGTTTAAGTGCATTCACACTCAAAATAACATTATATTATAGTAAATGCTTAGATTTTGTGGATTTCCATCATTAACTGAAATAAAATTACTATACTTCCAAATTTAGGGTCCGGCTGGGGATATAGCTCAGTGGTACAGCGCCTACCAGGCTAGTGCTAGGTGATGAGTTCAATTCCGGCACCAAAAAAAAAAAAAAAAACCCTCCCAAATTTAGAGTCCAAGTGATGATCACTGAAGAGGCTAAGTATTAGTAAACAATAACTTACATGGATGAAATAGTTTATAATGCTTAAAATTCAATTTTTTTAAAATTTAAAAGACAGAAAAGATGTACACTCGTCTTTTAAATTTCCATTACTTTCAACTTCTTACTTCTTATAAATTTAAGTGATTTTAGCGTTAATCCAATGTTTTCAGTTCATCAGTTTGTCACTTTGTACTTTAATTTGGCATTCAAAAAATCAATCTGAAAAATACTATGATGAAACTAAAGTTAAAATAGATAGCAAAGCAACTCCTGTGTACTGATAAACTGATTTAGTGAGTGATTCATGAAGTTCACTGGCCTTAAGTCATTGAAATAGGGCTGCCCGTGTAATAACTTTCACTTTCTGGGTGTTATGCACTTTCTCAGTCCTGCAATAATGTTCCTTTATAGACTCATTGGAATTTCTTATAAGTGAAAGAAAGCATTACTAAATCCTACAGTGCACTGGAACGAATTAACTGTCTTCCTGGTGGAACATGTTGATCACAGGAGGTAAATTATACAGTGCAAGGAACCACGTTGTATCATGAGGACAGCAAGAATTTACCCTTCCCAAACAGATGGTATTGTGGCATTGCTGACACTCACAGGACTGAAACAGAGATAGTCTCATCTCCATTCAGTCTTTCAGCCTTTCTTCCACCACAAACAGTGCCTTCTCCTCGCATCCTTGGTGATAAGGAGCTTAGTGGCATGTGTTCCCTATGTCTCAGACCATCAGGTACATCTGGCCCTATTTAGTCATAACATCTGTACTTAGGCAGCTTTCCTCTGATAAGTTTTTGGAAGTTTAGAAGAATCTGGAGAAGACCAGAGTTGCAAGAAATGTATCAGCACTTTTTAAAAGGTGCTTCTTCATTTGGTAGGAAAAAAAAATGTCTTTTTAAACACTTATAATACAGGCTTCAAATCAAAGAAACTTATTTGACCCCAGGTAGCTCTTAACACACAGGCATTCCATTTCACATACCTGGAAAATACTGTTTCTATGTTTTTCAATCATTTCATTCCTAATCCACAGAAGCATTTTTTTTTCCCCTCTAGACAGTGTAGTGTGAACTTCAACAGAAAACAAATATAAACAAAATCAACAAGTTAGTTGCTTCAAAACATTTTCACTCCTCATCAGATAGTGGACCATTAAGGACTATGATCATATATGAATTGAGTACATGTATTGATTTTATCTGATCAAAATCTAATAACTCCTGTGAAGCAATGAACACTCTTTAGCTTACACACTCTATGTCTGTTTTTAAGTAGGCAGTCTTTTGCAGAATTTACCGAACCAAATTATCCCAAGTTGTGTGTGTGTGTGTGTGTGTGTCTGAAGAGAATGGGAAAAATATAAAACAAAATAACCAACCGAGAAAGAAATGTTTCATTCAAAAACTATTTGCTTACTAAACAAATGGTACAAAAATGTGAGATGTTTGTTTGTGCAAGCAGCAGGGATCCTTTTATACTTGAATTCTTGGATCAATGAGACTTAAAGTGGTCTGTTTGCTTTAAGATCTTTTCCTGTTGTTTTCATGATTTGTTGAAAGTTTCATGTTTCACATTTTATTTAACAACCATGCTCCTCATACTTGAATGTTTGAAAGTAACTTACAAAACCAATAAAAAAGTGTTTTAGTAACTTCAAAAAAATCATCAAATCTTAAATGGTTTCTCCCCAGTGTACAGCTTCTAGGTAAATTAGAGCATTTGTTATGGGTGGGATAAATTTATCACTTGTCCACAACTGAAACCTCAAAAGCAGAGTTAAAGAAAAAAATCGTGGCTGGCGATATAGTTCAGCAGTACTAAGCGCCTGCCTGGCAAGCGCAAGGTCCAGAGTTCGATTCCTGGTACCAAAAAAAAAAGTTTCCAGAATGCAATGTAATATAGAATAAAATATTATTCAAAATAGTTTTACTATTAGGAAATAAATCAGTGGGGATTTCTAATGTTAAGAGGTTAATAAGGGAAAATTATCTACTTTTTGTGTGCTATTTTAGACACATAGTAAAATCTTCAGACATTTTTGAAACTGTTTTAATAGAACAATGTCAGCTAAGAAAAAGGCTATGTCCATTTTTGTCTATTTAATATAGGAACACAGTTTAATTTGCTGATTTGAAAATACCCACTTGCTTTTTTTTTTCTGAATGAAATGTTGCCTTGAATCAAATTTTTATTGTGATGTTTCAACTAAAATTGTATTATGGTGTTCACTTCAGGTAATGGAGGAAAATTTAAGTTTTATAATCAACATCTGAAACAGAGAAATCTTGTACTGTTCTCCATTCCAAAAATATCATAAAAATAGATACTAAAATTAAGACTACCATCAGGTAGTTTCTCTCTTTGCTGATTTGGTAAACAAAATGTTAGAAAGAAACAAAGTTATTCAGCAGCAAACCTAGCATTTTTTTTCCCTAATGGAACAATTCACTATCTAATAGAAATGTTTTAAATTCCTTGAAATGGCTTACATAATACAGACTACATATATGTAAAAACAGTTCTCTCTATTTTTCAATTGTTTCATTGATTTTACCTAAATGAAGACCTTCCTGAAAAAAGTTTCTTGTAAGAAAATAAAGTCTTAAAAATGTATTCTAAAGTGAAAAGGAATTTATTTATTTCAGCAAGATTTCTCACCAGAGGTTCTTCTTTTTAACCTTAATATCATCGACTCAAAATATCTTTTTTATGCCATAATGCTTGAAATCCATCATTATGTAGCTGCTAAAGTAGTACTAAGTGCAAAATGAGAGGCAAAGTCCATTTTCTGCAGAACACTGAGGAAATAAGGAAAAATCTGATCAGTTAGAGGAAGGCATGACTTTATGATGTTAATCTGTTATCTTGTTCTTTGTAATTAGGGGCATTTTACTGCTGAGCTAAATATTTCTTATTTTGAGATAGGATCCTGCCAAGTTGCCCAGGTGGGACTCCAAATTGTGATCCACCTTCCTGGGCTTCCATCAATATGGGGGTAATTATTTTTATCCTGGGTTCCACCCTTGTACAAAACAAATTATGGTACACTGGGCAATATACTTCCTTTTTCCTCTTGTTAAGAAACCCACTATATCCTATAGGACATAATAGGACTTCCCTAATCTAGAATTTTTATACTGCTACTACAATTGCCTTATTTTTTTTTCTATTGTCTTAATTGTGAATACTACTGAAAAAGACCACAACTTTCAGATAAAGGCAACTATATCATTATTTTTACAGATTATACAAAACTTACATTATGATGTATGAGTTGAGAGTGAATGCGTATAATCACATTTCCAATGCTGTATCTATCTTGCTATGCCTAAAGACGTCATCAATAGAAAACTAACCATAGGTTGTTCTAGGAACACATTACCATACCCTAAGCCTGTATCCACTGGGGTGCGAGAAAGATTGCTCTGTTGACAAAGTTTATATTTTTAATATAAGACTTCATAAAAGCTCAAGTACTCTTAATTGTATTTGTCCTTTATTTGGATAATACGGGTACATGTTTTATAATATCCATTATGTTTATATAAAATGATTTGCTGTGTTAAATGATTTGGCATTATTCTTTTGAAAGACAGTATTATTAAGCTCATGAATATCTCTTAATATTTCTGTGCATTAATAACAAGAGTAGCCTATTACTACTGATTTTAGTGACTGAAAGTTATAGCATAATAAAAAATAATAATTTTTGGAACAGCATTTTGAAAGCCATTCTCAGTATCAACAAGAGTCAGCTTGTCAGTCATTGTGTCCCGGCCTCTATTAAAAGAAGAAAAAGAGCTTACAGTAGTTAGGGAGCTGCTGAGTAGAAAACCCTAAGGATGTTCCAACCTATTTGTTATATTTTCATCCACCCTGTCCACGGAAGAAAACTGATGTGATCTTAACCTATGACTGACTGAAAATAGCATCAGGGGGTTTCTGAATCCTTGTAATAGTTCTGACTAACCATGCTTAAAATCCAATTGCTATTTAAATCAGACAGTGAGGCCTTCTTTTATTGACATGAGGTTTACCAGTCTGTGACATGAATAGTTCCATCCAGCAGGTTTTTATTTTTGGGGTGACACAAGACTATTTGACCTCAGGTCTTTGAAGTGATACCTGTAATAACTGATATTCATAAGACTTGACCTAAAATATCTCACAAATTACCTATACTCCGTGCTGAACATAATGATTTTCTTAGAATTATATTTATAAGTTTCAGTTTTATCAAACTCAGAACATTCTATTCATGGTTGAATTATGAGACTAAAAATCATTCTATTGTCCATACTTAAATGTGGCATTACACATCATGCATTCTGATAATTTTCTTTTCTTTCTTTCTTTTTTAATTTATTTTTTTATGTTCTCACCACACCATTGTAATGTCTACAGCTCGCCCTGTTGGTAAGTAGCCATCCTTCTATCCATTTAGCATGGTTTTGTATAATGCTTCACAATTCATGCATATTAGCACTTAAAAGAAATAAATGCATTTATTCCCCTGTGTTACTACTTGAGGAGTTGTCTGCTATGAAAGTTGCTTCTAACTTTGTCATCCCTTTGATAAACCATTTTTATAATGATATCACTACATAGCAAGCTATAAGTACTCAATTTTCATGTAAAAGAAGAGAAAAATGATTGATTTTATAAACTGCTAACTCTCTTAAGGAAAAAAATATATACTTCCCTTTCCATTGTATGTATACCATCATAAATTATTAGTTATGACTGTTATTAGCTAAGGTTAAAAAGTTTTGAACTATAGTTAAGAAACTTGGTCAATTACTCACATTTATTTTAAAGTGCTCAGACTCAGCTCCTTAGGTGTATTTTTATCTGCTATACCTGCTACTTATTATTGCCATGTCCATTAGAATTAAATAAAGTAGAATGCTTTAAGTTATTATAAATAGATTCTTGCCCTTAGTGTGGAAGGTAGAGGAAAGTTTTTTCTTTGGCATGAAAATTTAGTGATTGCTTTTTTAGTATATCCTTATTTGACTTTGCAAAATTGAATAGCTGGCACTTACAGAAATTTAAATGATAATTATTTGTAAACACTAGGATGATGAAATAGTCTCAAGTTTGTTAATGTAACAAACTTTCTATAGTGTGTTCAAAGTTTAATCTAACCCAGCAATAGTTAGTGTAAATAAAGTAAGTCTTGGTAATTATTGTATAAATAGATGAAAAAATGGATGCATAAATGGGTAGCTGAATGAATGAATGAATTCAGCAGATTGCTTCTTTAAAATGCCAAAGGATAGGTTAAAACCTTATTCACTTTTCAGGGGTTTATAAATTGTACATCAGACTTTAAAAGCTTTCTTAATGTATTGGGTTGATGTTGTTTCCTTTTAACATATATTGGTTGAAATACAGACATTATTATTATACTTGTATATTTTTATATCATTAGCAAATACAGTAAACAAAATTTTGGTTTCCCAACTTGAAATTCTAATATGAATTTTATTATCAGTTCTGTTTGTTAATTGCTATTTCAATATCCCTAATCCTCATTCACCTCATCTAGAAAGTGGAGAGATTAATATTGTCTAATCAAAGCTGCTGCAGAAATGGATTGAGTTTAAGATTGTGTGAAAAGTGCTCTGTGGGCTAACATTTTCTAATGTATTCCTAGTTTTTGATACATGTATTTTTTGCATTTTGATGTTTAAAATATATTTATGGCTTAAGTTAACTGAATTATAATTTACAAGGAATTTTTTTGAGACTGTTGTTAAATCAGTCATGCTTTATAAAATCAGTGCTTGAAAATTGAGGACCATGTTATGATCACTTTTAATTCTCATTTTCTTGCATGTGAACTAATTCCCATTAATGCCAGGGATTGACTCAGTTATATGTCAGAAAGGAAGCATTTTTTTATATATACTTTTTTATATATTAAAATATAAAGTAGATTTATATATGATATATATATATAATAAAATTGTAGTTTACATATCATAAACATTAATTTGGACTAATTATTACCATCTTCCTATTTTTGGAACTCTTGATGACTAAGCAATAAAAAAATCTTCACAAGTTTACCAAGTTATTTTAAGTTACTAAACTTGTATTTTATAGTAAATATTAAAAGAGATAGATGATAATTGTCAGTAAAAGGATAGCACTAGGTACCGCAGATTTCAGGTTTTTTTTGAATTGACAGGAATTGTAATTATAATAAAAAATCTTTGAAGCAAATGGAAGAAAATCACGTTTAATATATAGATCTCTTCATAAAAAACTTATGTAAATACCTATGAATGCTTCATTTACATAATGTTACAAGTTCCCAGCACATAATACATTAAAAATTTCTGATATATTTAAAACTGTTAAGCAAAGAAAAAATAAAGGGATTAAAGTGATGTGATTTCTAAAGGTATTAAGATGTATCTGTCACCTGCAAGGCATTTCAAAAGTTTTTTTCTAATTTTTATTCTTGTTTGAAATGATTTCTTAAATTCCCATTGGACTGGAAGTAAAGAATAGCTGCTTGACACATTGTACTTTGCTCTTGGGAAGTCTGTCATCTCATAAATCTATCTCAGATGACTTCTGACAATGTTCAGAAATACGAAGAACTATACTTTAAACTTGACAACTACCATTAGAATTGGAAATGAATGTTAGATATATTTTATTGGATTATGAAAGAAGAGACTGATGATGAGGAAACTAGCCTGGTGTTTCTTTGTATCAACTCATTACATCAATTTAAATCAGTAACTGTAGATATTTAAAATATTTATTGTAAGGCCAAGAGTTAAAAGTCAAGTAATGTAATGAACTAAATCCAGTTTTTAATTCCAATATTAATTTGGTGAGGAAATTTGTATGAAGTACATAAAGTTAAGAGAGTAGTAACTGTCTGAAGCTTTTGACAGAAAATTAGAAATCCATGCAGATTCTGGAATACTTAGTTTCACAAAACAGTCACCGCATCATACCAGTTGAAACTTCTCCTGTGTGGAAAGCCCCATTGAAACACCATTCTATCATCCCCAAACAGTTCTATATGACTGGAAAGCTCAGGAGCTTCAGTTAAGTTAAACATGTTGAAACTCTGTGATTCACAGCTGGAATTAAACACCCTCTAAACTGCAGTTTTGAGATTCTTTGAAAATTTGATCCAGATAAGTCTCAAATGGAGACTATGACTGAAAGTAGTCAATTGCATACTTGCAAACAAAGGAAATTACTTATATCTGCTCATCTGTAGTGTCACCAGCATCTCAAGAAGAGCCCTGTAAGGATGCTACTATGTGTTAGTTACTACAAAATTTACATTAATACCATTTTGATAATTAGAAATCTACCAAGCCTTCCTGTGATTTTGACTTTTTATTACTCCAAAGGCATTCTTTATATAAAAAACCAAACTGCATCTTACTGTGTAGTTAACTGTGAGTGTGGAAATATGCATTTGTTTATTTGGAAAACTCTTCTGATGAAGGCACTGACAAGAAAAAATAACAGTCTAAATATGGATAAATATCTTACTTCCTATAACCATCTGTCTTATTTTTCTATCGGAAGCCCTTCCCAAGCTTAAAAATAAAAAAGAACATCTATTTTGGAGATGGGCAACACATTTTTTCCTAGCAGCAACTCAAAACATGATGAGTAATTTGGAAAAGAACTGTCAAATCTACCAGCTGCCTTGCTTGCAAAGCGGAGCCCTGTTCTGTTTTGTATCTATGTGCCATATGCTAACTGCTGAACCCCTCAAGTGTAGAAATTAAAAGCTGAGTGTATCAGGTGAAACTTGCTTAAAATATCAAAAGCAAAGTGACAATGTAGAAGTTTAAAGAAATTTCTATGTGTTTCTACATTCTGTAGCACTAAAATATGTTTCCTTTGGATAGAAAAGTATCAGTGGCCATGCTAGAATTTAAAAAAAAAAAATTGAAAAATACATATTGTTGGCAAAATTCAACATTCTTAGATTATTGAACAGAAGTACTCACTTAAAAAAAAGAAATCTGTAGAGACACATTTTTAATGGTTTTGCTGCTCAAACACAAAAATAAACATATCCTCCTTTTATTTATTTATTTATTTTATTTTGTTTTTGGTTTTTCTCCAGTACCGGGAACCGAACTCACGACCTTGCGCATGCCAGGCAGGCGCTTTTGCAGCTGAGCTAAATCCGCAGCCCCCATATCCTCCTTTTAGAAAGTTCTGTTTTATGAGATGAAGTAGAGTTTTGTTGTAACATTCTGTAAGACATTTGGTTCCTGAGGCTTTAAGTTCAATGAAGACAGTGATTGAAAAATTCATCTCAGCATATTAGAAAACAGACATTACATTAAAAATATAATAGACATTCCTAACACTTCCATCTCCTACTCCACCTCAAATTTTGGGAAATTTAATGTGTTGTCTATATTTTAAATGAATATTGAGAACATTTTAGTGGCTTTTTTAAGATAGAAAAAAAGTATATTGTGTTTAGGTACACTGTCTGCAAAAGATGCCTTGAGTTTATTTAGGAAGTAGACCTGGAATTTTATTCCTTGCATCTCTGTTTTAGACAAACTGTTGCCCCATGACCGGAGGTGATCCCCTCTTTCCTGAAAGCGCTTAATGTTTCCTGCACCTGGCACTAATTAACGACATTATGCAGAGTCCCAATTAATTATTACTAAGCATCACGTTTTTTCATTGCTCCATATGGTTTGATTAAATGATAGGCCAAAAATAATGCATTCAGTCCTAGCTTGTGTATTCCAACAGAGTCTCCACAAAGTGAAATATTTGAAGTATCTTAAACTAACAGTAATTTTTAAAGTGAAAAGGAAGTGCTGGTTACTTCTTATGCTTAACTGGATTTATCATTGTGTGTTTCGTGATGTCCGTCCATTGTCTTTACAGGGAAGGCTATGGATAAAAGTATTGAAATGTGGGTTTTTTCTTTTATTTCTCACAACTTGGTGAAAAGGATCTCTTATTTTGCTATTGAATGGTCTATAGTGAAGTCTGAAGCTTCCAGAACATTTTTCCCTTTGGCCTGTAATGTCCTTTCACTGTACTGTGTGTATAATCATGTACTTTTTTTTCCAGATACATTTTGCTGGCTTATACTTTAGTGTTGATCATCCTGTAACTAATATTCTTGGGACATATCAAAACTCTTGAATCTATAGAATCATGTTTTTTTGTTTTTTTGGGTTTTTCTCCGGTACAGGGAACCGAACTCAAGACCTTGCGCTTGCCAGGCAGGCGCTTTTGCCGCTGAGCTAAATCCCCAGCCCCTAGAATCATGTTAATTTACTTTGTTTCATGAATATTTTCTTCTGTTTTATCCTTGAATATTTTTTCATGTTTCAGTTTCTCTTTGCTTGAAATACATTGGTTATGGTGGTTTACTTTTTTCTACAGTC